GACTATTGTGAATTGTCTACCCTTTTTGTGCAAGAAGTAGTTTTAGACAGGAAGTTAGGTATTGACATATCAAAAGAGCTGAAAAAAAAGACAAGCTTGGGGAGGAGAATGATAAAATTTATGGAAAGAAGATCAGAAAAATAAAAGGATTCAAAAAGCTGAAAAAGATTTATTCAATAAAAATCTAAAATTTTTATGTTTTACCGTGTAAGTTCCAGATCCACAAATTTCGCCATATTTCAAAGGATTTGGAGTGAGCAAGAAAGAAGTTGAGCTGAAGAGGAGTCCCAACCATACCATTTAACAAATCTAGTTGAGCATAGTCGAACCAACGACTTTTAAATGGGCGGATTTCTGAGAGGCAACCCGCGTTTATTTTTCCATTTTCAATAAGTGTCGATCGCAGCTCAAAGAAAGCTTGGGGAAATCAAAGGATTTTCTAAGTTGCTGGAATTTAGATTTTTCGCCAACACCTTCGTCAAAATCAGAAATTTTTGCAAATATATCAGGTACATTCTTTCCTACCTGCAAATGTTTGCTATTATATATTTTATTCAGCTGTCTAGTTCCTTCTCTAAACGTTGAGGACAATGCTCCATTTTAAGCTTGTGGAGGGGTTAGTGTCAAAATTTGCATTTTTTTTAAGAAAACTTTAAAATTTTAGTTTTTTTAATTAAAATTTTCAATTTTTTTTGCATTTTATTTTCTGCATTGCATTTAGAAAAAAAAATATATATGAGAAAAATTCAAAAAAATATTTTCACTTTATTTTCTATTTTTCTGCATGGGATATCTCCAGAAAAGTCCCAATACTTTGGACAAATTTTTAATAAAGTCCTAAATTTTATTTTTTGAAAAAAAAAGTCCTGACTTTTTCACCATTTGAATAGAAAAGCCCAAGAAACCGGCTAATTTATTCACTTTAGCCCATTTTGACCTGTTCAGCACGTCATGAGACCAAATTGTTAATTTTTCGAAAATAATAAGACTTTTTTTGCAGATTTTGTCAAAAAAATTTTATAATGTATAAACATATTTTTTACATATATATATATATATATATATATAATATATATATATATATATATATATATATATATATATATATATATACGTATTTGTGTATTTTTTAAGTTTTTATATGTATATATTTACGTATTTTTATTTATTTTAAATGTATAAACGTATTTTTTACTTATTTATATGTATTTTTAACCACTTTAAATATTTTTATGTGTTCTTTTTTATGTATTATGTATTTATATGTATTTCTATGTATTTTTACGCATTTATGTATTTTTTAAGGTTTTTTTATATAGATGTTTATGTATTTTAAATGTATAAACGTATTTATATCTATTTTTAATTATTTTACATATTTTTTATGTATTACGTATTTATATATTTTTTAAGTGTTTTATATAGACGGTTTTGTATATTTATGTATTTTAAATGTATAGACGTATTGTTTTACGTATTTATATGTATTTTTTAATTATTTTACATATTTTTTGAGTGTTTTTATGTGTGTTTTTATGTATTATGTATTTATATGTATTTTTGCGTATTTATGTATTTTTTTAGTTTTCTTATATAGATGTTTATGTATTTTTATGTATATTAAATGTTTAATTGTATTATTTTTACGTGTTTATATATTTTTTACGTAAAAATAATATAGTTAAACATTTAATATACATAAAAATACATAAACATCTATATAAGAAAACTAAAAAAAATACATAAATATGTAAAAATATATATAAATGCATAATACATAAAAAACACAAAAAATATATAAAATACTTAAAAAATACATATAAATACGTAAAACAATACGTTTATACATTTAAAATACATAAATATACAAAAACATCTATATAAAAAACTTCAAAAAAATACATAAATATGTAATACATAAAAAATATGTAAAATACTTAAAAATAGATATAAATACGTAAAAAATACGTTTATACACTTAAAATACATAAACATCTATATAAAAAGCTTTAAAAATACATAAATACGTAAAAATACATAGAAATACATATAAATACATAATACATAAAAAATAACACATAAAAATACATAAAAAAATATGTGAAATGGTTAAAAATACGTATAAATAAGTAAAAAAAATACATTTATACATTTAAAATACAAAAAATATGTAAATATATACATATAAAAACATAAAAAATACACAAATACGTAAAAGTATATATATATATGTAAAAAATATGTTTATACATTATATAAAAATTTTGACGAAATCTGCAAAAAAATCCAATTATTTTCGAAAAATTAACAATTTGGTCCCATGACCTGCTGAACTGGTCAAAAAGGACTAAAGTGAATAAATTTGTCAGTTTCTTGGGCTTTTCTATTCAAAAGGTGAAAAAGTCAGGACTTTTTTATTCAAAAAATAAAATTTAAGACTTTATTAAAAATTTGCCGAAAATATTAGGACTTTTCTGGAGATATCCCTTTTCTGCATTATAAAAACACAAAAAGATTTTATTTTTAGTTTATTTTGTGCATAAAAAATGGAAAAAAAATTCAATTTTTTTGGGAAAAGTTACATCAGATAATGAAATTCTTATCATTTGATAGCTCTGAAAACGTGAAAAATGAAAGTCTGAAACAACTAGATCGATAGTGGTATGTGCAGTAATAATTGTCTTAACTAGAGTTTGCAAAACATTATGTGTTGAGACGCCAACTGTAAAAAATAAAAAGAATTATATATTTAAACATTGCATAAGAAAAAATAAAAAAAGTTTTAGAAGGGGATTAGTGTCAAATTTTGCATTTTTGTTAAAAAAAATTTAAATTTTTAGTTTTTCAATTAAATTTCGATTTTTTTTTCTGCATTGCATTTAGAAAAAAAAATGAGAAAAACTCAAAAAAAATATTTTCATTTTAGTTTCTATTTTTCTGCATTATATTAAAAAACAAAAAGATTTTATTTTTACTTTATTTTGTGCATAAAAAAAGGAAAAAAAATGGAAAACGTTACATGAGATGATGACATTATTTGCATTCGATAGCTCAGAAAAGGTGGAAAACAAATGCCCGAAACGATCGGATCGATAGTGGTAAGTTTACTAATAATTCTCTTAAGTAGGAGTTGCAAAACATTAGGAGCTGAGACGTCAGCTGTAAAAAATAAAAAGAATTGTATATTGAAACACTACGTAAGCAAAAATAAAACAGTTTTAGAACTAATTTCCCGATAATTCTAAGAAAGAACCCTACTCGATAAGTCTGGACGCCACAAAATATGGCCCTATTTGTTGACACGCATTACCCTTCGCAGTAACAGAGAGTCTAGTATTGTATTCAAACAGCCAAACAAAATCGACGAAATGAGCAAAACAGTCATATTCGAGCTCATAGCAAATTTGAAGTATTTAATCGAATAAATTGAAGGTTTGAATCGATCGGATACACTTCAAGTATAAAGAACGAAAATAAACTAATCAAAGAAAAACAAAGAACAGAAAGTAAATAATACATAGAGTTCTCCGAATTGTTCTTTCACCAAGAAAGTGTTTTGTCTTCACCAAGAAGACAGGTTGTCACAAAGACAATTGACACAAAGCCGAACTCTCTACATTAAGGGTTACCCTAGTGTAGATTATATACTAATCTATACATGTGAATCTCATGGTTTAAGGGGTTGTATATTATATATACTAAGAACCAATCTTCATAACAAAGATAATGGATATGTTATTTATTCTATACTTATATATATCATTACCTAATATACAAATGATTCATAGAATAACTATACTATGCACTGACACCGATAAGCTTGATATGCTGGCGTTGGTAGTAGAGAAGGTGCTGACGCTGACAGATAGTGTAGAGTTTTTGACTCAATAGATCATAAGATCTGACCTTACAATCTCCCCTATCTGATGATGTCAAAACTAATCTTCAACGAATTCTTTAGCTCAAGCTCCCCGTATGCTCCCCCTAACAATATGATTGAAAGTTTTAGAAATTTTAAGTTCTTCAGGTTTTAACGAGTGCTCCCCTTGAGAAGGTGAATGAATTTCAATCAGTTGAAGCAATATGTACGAGCTGTCAGGGGACAGATGTCCTCGTGTTAATCCGCTTGACTCCCCCTTAGATTGTGCTTTCTTCATCTTTAACAGATTCTCCCCTTTTTGACATCAGCAGTAAAATGGAACTGGAGGAGAAAACCAGATGATCAGATTTGCATCTTGTGGTCTAGTAAGATTGTTACGTCTCCTGATAGTGTTGGCTAAAACTACCATTCACTGATATAATTATGGGCATTACTAGAAAAACAACCTTTTATAACGCGCAATCAATGACACATGCTAATAGAGGACACGCATTTGTGCGTGCCCTAAAAATTGATGTCAGTTTTACAAAATATGAAGCATAGAGGACACGCATTTTTGCGTGCCCTAAAATTAGTGTCTAATAAAAATAAAATAAAAACACGGAGGGCACCTTAAGTAAAATGTGTGTCGTCTAACCATGCCGTTTTATAAATTTTAATGAAACGCGCGTTTCATCCCAAGGGAAAATGAAATCCCAAAAATTAAAAAGCCCGCTTTGTTTCCACCTGCTGAAAACCCTAGCTCATCCCCGCCGAAAACCCCCTTTCATTCTTTCTTCTCTCTCGATTCTCAAACCTCCACCGCTTCACTTCTCCACATCTGCTCTCCAACTTTGCATCTCCAACGCGATCCTCCCACAACTTCGCATCTTCGTCACTTGTTCCCATAACTTCTCCACATCTGCTCTCCAACTTCTGCTCAACTTTCTCTATACATCCGGTTCTTGTTCGACGACCGAAGATTGAGATACTCTTGGTGGACCGAGCAAGGCCATCCACCGCTGGGTAGACCCTCACACCACCCACCTATGACCACAACTCCTTCTCCCATTCATCCTGCCCTCTATGATGAACCTCCCCCAACCTGCAATATGGGAGAAATGGTGGGTACTAAATCGTCATGGACGTGATCGAGAAGCAGACTCAGAACCGCGTTGCTGGTGGCTACCAGATCGACCATGGTCAATCAGCCCAGTCTCTGTCTCAAGTTCGTATTCTTTTTTTAGGTTATTCTTCCATTAAAGAACTTACTATGATTAGATCGTTGATAATTTTTGTTTCTTTTTTATGAATATGTTTGCGTTGAGGTTTTGAGTTAACTGTCATGAATGCTTTGGCAGCTAATCCTACCAAAATGAGCACAGGATTGCCACTCTTGAAATTGATCGTGATAGGAAATCTGTGGGGGTTATTGTATCCTCAAACTATGGGAAAAAGTCCCTGCTTGTAAAGGTAAAAGTAAAACAATCCCATATTTGGTTTTAGGGTTTTTTTTATCATTTTAATGTCTAATGTTTGTCCAAATGGAAAGAATTAACAAAATAGGTGCTAAATTTTTGACAGTGTGTTGTTGAGAACTTGTTAAAAAGAAGCTCCTACATCCAGTTGTCAGATGGGTCTGTTGTTGAACTTGATCAGAAGGCAAAATCAGTAATCCTAGACAACCTTAATGAATTGTCCTCAAGTGCATTACGTGTATTGGGTTTTGCATACAAAGATGACCCTTCAGAGTTTGTAACATATAATGGGGATGAAGAACATCCGGCTCATAAACTTTTACTTAATCCTGCCTCTTACCCTTTAATAAAAAGTAATCTAATCTTCGCTGGCTTAGAAGGACTTCGGGTAAGCAGTTAATTCGCTGGCTTAGCAGGACTTGTGATGGTGTGAATGATGCACCTGCTTTAAAATTGGCTGATATTGGGATTGCAATGGGCATTGCTGGAACTGAGGTATGTGTATTCTAATAGAGATGATGAATGTAATCTATTTGTAGACATAAATTTAATGCAAATCTTTTTGGGTTTTTTTTCTCCAGGTTGCAAAGGAGGCTGTTGACATGGTTCTGGCTGATGATAATTTTAGCACGATTATGGCTGCAGTTGGAGAAGGCAGATCCGTTTACAATAATATGAAAGCCTTTATCCGGTTAGTTAACCAAACACTACCATAGTTGAACGTAGTCTGAAACTAATTGCATTTTGTCCACTTGTGTCTGACAGGTATATGATTTCTTCAAATATTGGTGAGGTTGCTAGCATCTTTCTAACTGCTGCCATTGGGATTCCAAAAGACCTAATTGCAGTTCAGCTTCTATGGGTGAATCTGGTTACGGATGGCCCACCTGCAACAGCCTTGGGTTTTAATCCACCAGACAAATACATCATGAAAAAATCCCCTCGCAGGAGTGACGATTCCTTGATTGCGAATCTATTGTTCATTTGGTGTGCTTTTGTGATTGTAATATGACAAGGTAACCTCTTGATTTCAGTTGTCTGTTATGCTTTACTCCCGATCGCATTTGTCATTTTGACTATGTTTATTATATACATATATTGATGCATAATAAACAAAGATTGCTTCTAAGTTCTAACTTCTAACAAACTACTTTTTGCTCCATGGAGGCAGCCAAGGAAGAAATAAGCAAAAAGACGGATACGCCCTTGGATTTGGATCCATTGTTGCTTTTATGATAAGTGTTGTAAGCTTCTCATTCATGTACATCCTATTTTTATCAATTTTACATTATCACATCATTATCACATCAGAGTTAGTCCTTATTCTTGTCCTGAATGGAATTTTAGGTAATTAACTTTTTTTTATTTTACAGAAATGTTCAAATGTTTACTTTTTTTTTCTTTGATTTAGAGAGCTTGGCTTTTGAAACTTTTAGCACAGCTGGAATTCAGTGCTTTCCAGTTTTTGCTCAATTCAGTGCTTCGAACACCAACTTATCAGGTTTGTTTCTGTGTTAAATTTTAAGTTTCATAACAACTATTTATTTATTTCTTTATGAATGTAAGTTGATATGAATTGTGAAATAGGAGGACAAAACTTGTGTTGTTGTATCAAGATGCAGGGTTTGTCAAATAGGAGGACTGGAGCAACAAGTATAAATATAGAGAGTTCCCGCTCACACAGTGTGTTCGCTTGATTGCGAATCTATTGTTCATTTGGTGTGCTTATGTGTTAATAATCTTGTGTGGTGATTTGTAGGTACTACTGGCACTTGATAGGATTGAACAAAAATGGTAACAATTTGCTCCCTGTGATAACACTATAAAGATATGAAAAGGAATTAATTTGGCCTATTTTTACAATATGTGATGAGGTTTTATTGTATTACAGGGAATTACACTACTGTTGGAAGCTCTTTCTTCTTTTAAGGGAGTCATTTAGGAGATAGCTTGCTAATGCAGTTCCATTGTGGGGCAGGGTCCTTAAACTCTAAGATGAGTTTCATTATTAATTTGAGCATTTCTATGCCTTAACTTAAACTAGATAGAACTAGCATCAAGGATAAATAGAAATAAATAAATAAATAAGAAGATGTTCCTGATGAATTTACATCACTCATACTCAAAAATAAAATTCACCATTTTTGCTTGTGATTTGTTATTCATGTGGTGTGACTGCCACGTGTCAGCAGTAAATGTAAGTACTAAGTGTAGTTATTCTCATTTTTACATATTGGGATTTGTTGGTTTATGTGAATCTAATGGTGCATTATTCAAATTTGTAGGTCTGGTTGATGTGCATAGTGTCAAGCAAAGTAGTTCGGATGTTGTGAAGGTGGGCAACAAGTTCTTGTAGTTCAACTATTATTTGTTGATGACTTTCATCTCTTTCACATTTGATGTATTACATTTGTCTACTATTGGAATGATTATTTGTATAACATTAGCTTTTGTGCAATGGATTGTATTTTTTGTATATGGTATTTTATTTTCTATTATGAGACATAAATGCAAATTTAATTTGAAAACTAGTAAATCTATAAATAATTTTTTTTTTAAAATTTAAAATTACGATACGCAAAAATGTGTGTCATCTTCATTTATGACATGGCCTTTCTTGACAGCGACTTTAATGAAACGCATTGCATGTCATAAATGCGCGTTGTAAATGCGCGTCGTCTATAGACGACGCGCAAAAGCGTGTCGTCTATAGACGACGCGCAAAAGCGTGTCGTCTGTCGTTATGACAGGGCCTTCCTTGACACGCATTTTCGCGTCGCTTAGCGTTTTACGACACACATTGCGCGTCGTAAAAGGCTGTTTTTCTAGTAGTGGGGAGATCTCATCAGCGTGTGGTTTCATACGCTGACTCATTAATCACTTGTACTAGAAGAAAAAAAGAGCAAGAGTGGTATGATGTGTGTAATAAGCTGTTGTATTTTAGCTTAACCATCGGCATAGATTTTACAAGCTCTCATCGGCGTATGGTACATTACGCAAAATCATTAAGCTTTAAAGAGGAATAAAAGGGAAAGATTGGTTGGCACGTGTGATAGTCTACGGTACATAGACTAACCATCGGCAAAAAGTTTCAAACTTTTATCAGTGTGTGGTATAACACAGTGAATCATCAAGTTTTATTAAGAAGATAAAGGCGAGAATGGATTGTTTCAGTCATGCTGAGGTGGAATCAGCGTGAATCATGAACAGTTTAACTCATCAACAAGAAGTGGTTTAAACTTCCATATCATATAGTAAGTTGCAGTCTAGAATCAAAGATTCATCGTTAACTCATAATGGTACCATGTCATACCTCAGACTAGGAGGTCATGGACATGAATAACCCATTGTCATTTAAGGACCAGACAAGTAACTCTTAAGCTGATGACTGTGCAATCAGTGTAAGCCATTGGTCTATGCTCAATGTTTCAGCAGAACATGAGACTTGATGCATACGACAAGCATGCTTCCAGTGACAAGGATGTGTCATAAGTTGCATACTAGGCTTTACAAAATCCTCCATCATATTTCCTTAAAAAATATTATACAAATACAAAAAAAGAGTTAGTCAAAAAAGAAAGTATATGTGCAGCATTTTTAGAAAGGTGATAAAGACTCGTTTCATCACATCTTTAGAATTGAATGGTCATAAATGCACTTTCATTTTCCGAGATATATACCACTTGAGTTTTGGTTATAAAGAGAGCACAAGAAAAGGTAAGCACATAAATATACAATACAACTCACAATAAACCACGAGTGATGAAGCCATTCATCATGGATTTCTAGCTACATATTCATTAGGAGCAAGTGAATAGCGGGAAACAGTCTTTATAACCAATGAGTTAACTGACTCTAATCCATGAAACCATCGTGTCCTTGTAGTAGTGTTGATTATGATGGCATGTGCGGAATTAGAAAAGATCTAGTGAATCATCATGCAAAATCAAGAACACAAGGAGTAAATAATTCTTTTAAGCTTTCATTAGTTTTCATAGAAAAAGAGTACAAATTGGTCTTGCAATTTCTCTCTCCAAACTAATTCTCTCAAAGTGTTCATTAGATAAAATGAGTGTCACTCACTTCCTTATAAAGGAAAGACAACTCATTACACACATACAAAGGAGTAAGCCCTCATGACATCCAAGAGTGATTTTGCACCCTAACATTCTCCCCCTCAAAGTTAGGATTGGATGTCCGGCTTAAATCTCCAACGAGCTCGCGCGATCAAGACCAAACTCCCCCTCGAAGTAACACCGGTCTTCAAATCCGCAAAGAATACCCGAAAAAGTCGCTTCGAATACCCATCATTCTCCCCCTTTTTATAATCAAAAAATGATTATAAAACCCATTAAGGGTGAGAAGCGCCCGAGGAATGAACTTGACAATGCTCCCCCTTGATGTGTACCAAAAATGAATCACCAAAAATCTTGCACGGAAAAACAATCACGAAAAAGCCTCAAAAAATTTCAAAATTCGTGAATTTTTTTGACTTTTTGAGTGACAGTTGCAAGATTTTACAAAAACCGGGTAAAAACTGTCACTTTTTGAATTCTGCAGGGACCCGTTGTGCCAAAAACAACCAAATATGCGATACACTCCCCCATTTGCAAAACTGGGTAGAAAGTGTAAATTCGCACAAAATACAGGGACCATAAATGTAAACTTCACCATTTCTCAGAATTTTTATCCAAATTTCGAAACTGGGTAAATTCTGCTAATTCATAAAAAATGTAGGGATGCTAATCAAAAATTCTTCATACTTCACAAAAATTTACTACCATTGCGAAAATAGGTGGTAATTGCCAAAACACTGAAAATGGAAGGACCATATGCGAACATTTTTGCTTTCTTCCCCAAATTTTTGTTATCAGATACAGATATGAACGACGATCCATAGCAAAACTAATTTCGACTTTTAAACCCAATACGAGACTGAAGATGCGAACTGGAATGTGATGAGTTTTAGGTAAAACAAATAAACTAGAAAAACAATTCCTAAGTTCACATGCAACCTACTTTGGATCTATGTTTTAACTATTGAACATATAACTTTGAATTGCAAACAAGAACCCTATAGGAGAGAGCCTAATTTCGAAATTAACAAACTAGGGTTTCAGAATTACATACCTTTCAATTGTTATAGCAAACAATTATTAATCCTCTTGAACTTGATCTTCTTGGAAGCCTAGCACCACAAATGTAATGCCTCTAATGGAATCACACCCAAGAACTAGCAAGAAGGAAACTTGAAGGAAAGAGAGGCTAGGGTATGCAAAATTCGGCCTAGGGTTTCTTCCAAGGTAGGAGTGGCCGAATTTAGGAGCTGGGAGGCTCCTTATATAGCTGAGGGATCTAGGGTTTAGGGAAAACCCTAATACTCCTTTGCTTGGGGCCTAAGCTAATCCAAAGGCCTTATCCAAAGCCCCTTGGACGAAATCCTTAGGGTTTCCCCTATAGATTTCGTCCACCTCCTTCCAAGGAGGTTCTAGAGCCTTCCACTCAACTATTAGATAATTGCAAACTAGTCCCTGCACTTTATAATTAATACTTTTAACCCCAAAATTAATTCTGATTAATTTCTGGCTAACTATTAATTAAACATAATGATTTCTAATTAATATATTAATCTTTTAACATATTAATAAATAATTTATATTAATTTATTAATCTTATAAATTAATATCTCTCCTTTCATAATTTCCTTGTCCAGTTGCTAGGTTGAGGGCAACCCAAAAGGACTGTGCTGCTATCAATTCAAGTACATACCAATTATAGTAATGGGCTTAGACACCTAATCCAACAGAATGTTACCATAAAAGCGAAATCATGTTGTGTTACCAGATGCAAAAATTGATCAGCACACAACGAAATCACTATTCACAAATCGACTCAATCGACTCCAAACCATCTCAGACCTTCCCAATCGAAATCAAACAACCATCACCCTTCGAAATTAAACCAATAACTCCAAAACTCACAATGAAACTCGTTTGGCCTCCAATTCATTTTACAGTTCATTAGAATCCCAAGTTTGACTTTCGTTAGTTTGACTTTTCGTTTATTTGATGACAAACAACAAACCGACAACTTTTCAGGGCAATTTTAGATCAAACACATTATTCCAACTCTTCTTCATGATAACGATATCAAATAGCGACTACCAACCACCAGGCGTTCAATTTCCAAAACCATCGAAGTCAATCCTTATGAGCAGATCCTTGATAATTGATATCGACTCCAATCCTTGAACTAAACTGAAATCAATTTCGATCTTCCCTTAGCAAATCAATTTCGGTTGCGAACATCCAAAAACCTTTCGAAATCAATTACTGTAAAACCCACTTTCGAAGGCTGTTTGACCTCTAAACCCAAACTCATCAACCGACAACAAAAACAATCGATAATTGTTTATCAATCGATCATCCTTTGACTTTCAAAAGTCAATCTAACCATCGATTATGAGCCTTCACTTTTGGAACAAGATCATATGTTCGATTCACAGCGATAGATTCACAACGAGAGCTCCGATCTTGAAGAAAGTCAAGAATGTACAACACCTTTATGCGTATTGTGCATAACGAAGAACTGTGAGTGAATCAAATTTTGTATGCACTAGATCTGTGAATGATTTTATCAGATCAAAATAACGGAATGGGCTTAAGGAATGAATAGTGATTCAAATTATTGTTGGACTCAATTAAATGTGTATGAACAGTAATGAACAGTGATGTTTCACTTGACTTTGGGCTCACAAATTGGATTACATGAAGAATAATCGAAAACTTTGGGCTCAAATCTTGGATTAGAATATGATTTTGATTTTGTGATTTGATCTAAAAAAAATTAATTGGATCTTCAAAGAGGTTTGAAACGAATTCGATCCAATTGAGTCAAAACGATCAAAAATTAAAAAGGAAACACACGAATCGAAATCATGGATGTTTTG